TATATATATATATTCAGGTATATATATATTTAGGTATATATATATGTATGTATGTATGTATGAATGTATATATTTTAAGCAGTTTGTATATTGCTTTCAGTATTCCCTTAATACTTCAGAGTCTGCCTTTATATACAGGATCAATGTCAGGCACTCTAAAGTCCATGTAAAAAAGGCCACATTCATTCAAACAGCAAAAGGCAAATGGCAATACATCTTTTCGCTAACTTTACCCGAAACACTCAAACCAGACGTGTCTACTAAATTAACATACCTCAGTATAGTGAACGGGTGGATTTTTTTGATAGCATGCTTTGCAAGGAGCTACGTTTATGCATTATATTTCATTATGACCGACATATATATATATATATATATATATATATATATATATATATATATATATATATATATATACAGAGAGAGAGAGAGAGAGAGAGAGAGAGAGGAGAGAGAGAGAGAGAGAGAGAGAGAGAGAGAGAGAGAGAGGAGAGAGAGAGAGAGAGGGGGAGGAGGGGAGAGAGAGTGAGTGAGTGAGTGAGTGTGTGTGTGTGTGTGTGTGTGTGTGTGTGTGTGTGTGTGCGTGCGTGCGTGCGAGAGAGAGAGAGAGAGAGAGAGAGAGAGAGAGAGAGAGAGAGAGAGAGAGAGAGAGAGAGAGAGAGAGAGAGAGAGAAGCACTTTTTAGAAGTCTTGCTGCTCCCTACTCAGCCCCGCATTGTAGTCGAGGGCAGAGCCACAGCTAGAATACTTGAGCGAAACGTGTACTTCATCCCAAATGCCATTACAACACGCGACGTCAGTATTTTTGAGGGTTGAACCTGTGTTTTCAAATCCGGCTGGGGAGAGGACAGGGACAGATAAGTCTAGGGGAAAAGGGATGTTGCAGATAAGGTGAGGTAGAGTTTCATTTTAATGTAAAGTATTCATCACTCTCTCTCTCACACACACACACACACACACACACACACACACACACACACACACACACACACACACACACACACACACACACACACACACACACACGTACACACATACGTACACACACACGTACACACCTTATCGTAAAAGGACTGTAGTATTATTAAGTGCATTCATTGTTACAAGTATGACCTGTATAAAGTGTGTTTTTAACACGAACAAAGAAGTAAATTCATTATTAGTGAAATGCAAACCCTCTTAAGAATGGTTTAGATTCCAAGGCATCTTAAACTCAATTTTAGAATAATGGTCAATTTAATAAGAGCCTTATCTGACACCATCATAGGCGAAATAAACAGATAAACAAATAAATAAATACTGAAATCAACCAACGGAAAGTAAAAGGGCAAGGAAGAGGGAAATAGAGAAAAGCGTGGGTCAGGGAGCGGGCGAAGGGAGAGAAGGAAAGGCGAGCAGGTGGCTGAATTCCCACTGGCTCAGGAACGCCGCACAGCAGGTCGCCGAAGTTGCCTGTCCGCGCGCGTCCGTGTTTGCTGCGCCGAGACGGAAATCTTCGGGGGGAGGGGGAGGGGAGGTCCTGGTGCTGCCATCTTGCGTTCGGAAGGGAAAGGAGGTTGGCGATCGGCGAGGGAGTTTGGGGGAGGGGAGAGGGGGAGTGGAGGAAGGAAGAAGGAGAGGGGGAAGGGAAGCGGGTAGGGAAAGGGAAGGGGAAGAGAGGGATGTTAGGGGAAGAAGATATGACAGAAGAAGAAGAGAGAGAGAGACAGACAGACAGACAGACAGACAGAGAGAAAGAGTGAGAGAGAGAGAGAGAGAGAGAGAGAGAGAAAGAGAGAGAGAGAGAGAGAGAGAGAGAGAGAGAGAGAGAGAGAGAGAGAGAGAGAGGTGAGGGGGGGAAATCAGAGGAACCGTATCCCCCCGAGTCCAAAACATGGAAAACCCTCATAATCATCCTCTCGTGTGCTCACCCCATCGTCACCTCCCCCCCCCCCCCCATCCGCCTTATAAACAAGTGGCCCCTCCCTGCTTCCCCAACTCCAAATAACCACATCATTGGGACGACATAGAATTAATCATCTCTCCTTTATCCCTCCTTTCGCCTCCCATTTCCTCCTCCCTCCCTCTTCCCTTCCGTTTTGTTTCTCTCCTTTTTCTTATCTCCTCCCCTTCTCTCTTCTGTTTCCCATTTTTATGCCCCCCCCCCCTCATCCCCTCTCTTTTCTTCCTTGACTTATCCTTCTTCCTCACGTCTTTTCTATCCCCTACCCTTCTTTCTCTTCCTCTCCACCATCCCCTCTTCTCTTCCTTCATCTTTCCTATCTATGCTATTTCCTATATATCCTATTCCCTTCTACTCTCCTTTCCTTCTACTCCTCTTTCTCCCCTTCCTCCTCTCACCGTCTCCACTCTCCCCTCTCCCCTCTCCCCTCTCCCCTTCCCCCTCTCCTCCTCCCCCCTCCTTCCGTCTCCCCTCTCCCCTCGTACCCCCCCCTTCCCCTCCCCCCTCCTCCTGGAACCTTCAAGAAGCTGGTTCATCTCCCAGCAGACTGGAGACAGTAACATATGATAATACCGGGGCGGGGCGGGGGAGGCGGGGGGGAGGGGGGCGAGGGGGGCGAGGGGGGCGAGCGCTGAGTAAGGCATATTTTGGAGACTTATGGCCCTCTGATGGAGCAGCGGCCTCGTCGCCCCTGACACTTGTAAAACTTGCATGCCGCCCTTGCCTGTCTTTCTCTCTTTGGCTTTCCCTCTTTCTCTTTTGGCGTTCTCCTTCTGTTTTACTCTTTCTTTGGCTTTCTCTCTTTCTCTTTGGCGCTCTCCTTCTGTTTTACTCTCTCTTTGGCTTTCCCTCTTTCTCTTTGGCGCTCTCCTTCTGTTTTACTCTCTCTTTGGCTTTCCCTCTTTCTCTTTGGCGCTCTCCTTCTGTTTTACTTTCTCTTTGGCTTTCTCTATTTCTATGTTCTTCTTTTTTTATTTTGGCTCGTTTTCGTTCGTTTTTTGTACATTTTGTTTAGCCTTTTCTTTTAGATTTTAATTTGTTTGTATTTGTTAATGGTCTCTTAAGCTTTGTAATTTCATTTCTACCTTTTTTTACCATCTCTTTACTTCACACACACATACACACTCACTCACTCACTCACTCACTCACTCACTCACTCACTCACTCACTCACTCACAATATCTAGGACCAATGAGAGATCAGTCTGGCAACACACGTGTCATTCCGTATATTTTATTTGATAATATTTCAATTATTTATTCCCATTGAATGCAATGAATTCAGCATAATCGTAATTCAGTGTTCCATAACAGCTGGTCAGTTAATATTTGTATTAATGGTACAGTTTTTTAACCGCTTAATTGCTGGAAATTTAACATCCAACGGAGCCCGTTTTATTGCGCTCTCCCTTCGGAATGTCATAGTTTAACACGCCGTTTCACGCGCGCGCACACACACACACACACACACACACACACACACACACACACACACACACACACACACACACACACACACACACACACACACACACACACACACACACACACACGAGAGAGAGAGAGAGAGAGAGAGAGAGAGAGAGAGAGAGAGAGAGAGAGAGAGAGAGAGAGAGAGAGAGAGAGAGAGAGAGAGAGAGAGGGGGGGGGGGGGGGGAGAGAGAGAGAGAGAGAGAGAGGGGGTGAGAGAGAGAGAGAGAGGGTGAGAGAGAGAGAGATAGAGAGAGATAGAGAGAGATAGAGAGAGATAGAGAGAGATAGAGAGAGATAGAGAGAGATAGAGAGAGATAGAGAGAGATAGAGAGAGATAGAGAGAGATAGAGAGAGATAGAGAGAGATAGAGAGAGATAGAGAGAGATAGAGAGAGATAGAGAGAGATAGAGAGAGATAGAGAGAGATAGAGAGAGATAGAGAGAGATAGAGAGAGATAGAGAGAGATAGAGAGAGATAGAGAGAGATAGAGAGAGATAGAGAGAGATAGAGAGAGATAGAGAGAGATAGAGAGAGATAGAGAGAGATAGAGAGAGATAGAGAGAGATAGAGAGAGATAGAGAGAGATAGAGAGAGATAGAGAGAGATAGAGAGAGATAGAGAGAGATAGAGAGAGATAGAGAGAGATAGAGAGAGATAGAGAGAGATAGAGAGAGATAGAGAGAGATAGAGAGAGATAGAGAGAGATAGAGAGAGATAGAGAGAGATAGAGAGAGATAGAGAGAGATAGAGAGATAGAGAGATAGAGAGAGAGAGAGAGAGAGAGAGAGAGAGAGAGAGAGAGAGCGCAGGCACAGACACCATAAACCCGCACCTCTCCACTGTCCGTCCTTCCTGCCATGATTAACCGCGTTTATCATATCTCTCCTCTCCGCTCCCTCCCTCTTCTCTCTCCGTCTCTTCCGTCATCTCCGTTCATAGCTCGATCTACGTTTTCTCTTTCTCTCTTTCTTAGTTCTTCTCATTCTCTTCCTTTCTCTCGTTACGATACTGTTTCTCCTTCTCTCTTCTTGCCATTTTACTTTTCGTTTTTTGGGTTATTTTATTTCTCTCCTTTCTCTCTTGTTTCTCTTTTCCCCTCTTCGCCTCGATTTTCTCTTTCCCTTTGTCATTTCACCTTTCATTCTTTGTCCATTCCTCTTCTCTCCTCCCTTCTCATGCTCTCCCTTCGCCATTTCACTCCCCGATCTTTATTTA